TATTTTGTTTTCTTCTCAGAGCTCGTTTTCAAAGAACAAAGTACTGATATGCATTTCGATGTAGATGCAAAAACGAACTCAAATCTATTTTCAATATTATTCTTTCCTCATTTGCTGCTGCAGCTTAGCGGCTTTCATTTCCATATACCTTCTGTTCGACATCCAGATGGCAATAGAATTTGGCCACAATATCGATTTGAAGCTATTTTATTCTTTGGAAGATGTATTGCTCTATTAGGTCTTGCATGGATGAGGAAAGTGGCTACATTTCAATCTGATGGGAAAGATAAAAGCCGACCATCAATATTTCCTTCCTTTTTGATTGCAATGATTACAACTGCTGGGGCTGATATCGTGGCGTCGAACTACAAAAAGTTAGGCAAAAACTCAAGGACACTTCGAGACCTGAATGGTCCAAAAGGAGCAATACTCCTCATGTCTTCCTCGCTTTTTCATGCAACACTGCATTCAATTATGACATGTGATCGTCTTTCAGTGCAATTTGCTGCTCTGAGTGTTGTTCAATTGAGTGCTTTTGGAATGACCTTGCGTAGGAAAACTATCATAACCCAAAGACAGGGGGTTGCACTCTATGGATTAGTACTGATTCTAGGAATGATTGTTATAATTAGCGAACTAAAGAGAGATGAAACATTATATTTCGGATTGACATTTGGCAACATTGCTGCTCTTTTGAGATTCCACTTTCGCATGAATAAGTATATTCTGTGGACAGCTGTAGCATTTTTTGTGAGCAAAATGATGCAAGAACAAGGCTTCATCACCGTTGATGAAGAATGGCATGTCCCAAGTGCTGTCACCACTTTGATTCTGATATCATATGCAATTAGATATGATTGGGTATTAAGAAAGAAGCTTTCTTTACAACAAGGGTAGGTGGTGGAGCTGCAGATGAGTTTCATATCCTTCCTCCTCCAATTAAATCCAATGGAGGAAGTTCTTCAATGTAAATTAGAGCATAAGATCTTCATGTAAAACTATTGATTCTCCTCATCGGCTGTTTCAACTTGACTGCTTTTCAATATAGTTGCTCGACAAATAGGACACTCTGCATTTCTCATTAACCAGTCAATCAAGCATTCTGAATGCATAACATGACCACATATATTTCTAGGATAACAAACTTCATCACCATCTTCGTAATCATCCAAACATATGGCACAAACACCATCTGCAATATCTGGAAGAATTTCAGTAGCCTCAACTTTTTTCTCAAAAAGATTTGCAAATCCTTGAAACATCCACGATAAAACATTTCCATCACCTTCATTTGTATTCTGTTGTGAGATATTGTCATCAACAAATGATTCTTCCTGGTCTACACTTTGATTCTCTGAGTCATCATTCAAAACTATGGTCTCCAAATGAGAAGATGCATCATCTGTATGTGATCGATATTCCTATGGTTGAAAAAAAGACCCCAACATGTTGGAAAAATGAACCAAGACAAAGTATCAAAGTGAACATTCAATTCTGCAATACTTACACATATGCAAAGTTGTGCCAATGCTCTTTTCTTTCTTTTTTCTCTCTGCTCCACGTTTAAGAAGAAGCTCTTTTCAAACCTTCTATTTTCCATTTCTTCAAATCGCCGAACTCGTTCCAAAGCCATATCACGTGCTATCCTCTCCCTCTTTAATGTGTCTTGCTCCTTTTGGATCAATTTCACTTTTCTTCGCAGCCAAATTGCAAAAACTGTGAGAACAAATGCCGCAGAAGGGATAGCTATAGCATAGAGCGTATCAGTTTTCATTTGATTGCGAAAATGTAGGTAAATTTTGGGTTGTAATGAAAGTGTGACTGCTAGTAGTGAGTAGTTGTGGTGGCTGTTGGGTGTTAGTAGGGCTCTCTTTCATCACTTTTCACTTTTCACTATTTCATTCGTGGTGGAAGTTAAGAGTTGTTTGTATGGCTGTCGCTCATAGATTTGTGGTCGTGTCAAAATTCAAATAAGTGTAAACAAAACAAAAGAGAAGAGAAGAGGAAGGACATGTAAATTTGGCTTGCTTGTCATTGTTCTAACACATTTTTAAATTGTAATGATTTTCTACTATTCTACTTCGTAACTGCTGTTTACAATTAAGGGCAGAGATAGAAGACATTATTTATTATGTATCTGTAAGAATAAATAAACGCACAAGAGATAGAAGGATTACTCTTGGTTAGATAATTTCTACACGTCTAAATATTCTTTTGACACCAGACACGAATGCAGCGCGCATGACCAACAAAAGACGAAGATGATACAACAGAAGTGAGAAAATGAACAGAATACAAAATACAATACGTACATCACACTATCAACTACCTTACATCCCTCACACAATAATCAAAGAATATGATTGATTACGTTGGATCAAACAACAATCAAGACCTCATTGGACAACCACCTCGTAAAATTAGAGTTGTAGCTCCGGCCGACCTTCCTGAATCCTATGAATTGGAAATTTCACATTCAGATTCAGCTCCATTCACAGTCACCATTCCAGAGGGAGGAGTAGCAAAGGATGACATCTTTCTAGTGGACTTGCCTCCAAATTACAAGAATCCGACCTATCAAGTGTTGGAAAATATCCCTACTGGAAGATGGAAAGATGGTTTATTTGATCTCTTCCAATATGGAGCATGTCATTCACATTGGCTCATGGCATTTGCTTGTCGAGAATTGGCAATGGGACAAGTAATGACTCGCATGAGACTTGATTGGCTTGGAAATCGTATGAGTCGTCCAACCAATACTTTTTTAACTGTCTTGATTATGGTCGCTTGTTGGTTTATTTTTGACTTTTCAATGGCAATGTTGGTTCAATATGGATCTGATAATGGATATTACTATGGAGATGATGATACTTTGACTTCATGGATTCGTTCTGTTGTTGGTTTCTTATTTGGAGTTTGGAGTATTTATGCATTGTACAAAACAAGAAGAAATGGTGAGTAGAAAAGACAATTACGTCCGACAACATTTTCATCGCAGATGGAGGAATCTTTTTAGATATAATCTCTCACTCCTCCTTCTATACATACTTACCTTCACTTATTGAATTTCGTGTTCAGTACGACAAGAATTTTCTATTCCAGAACAAAACTGTATTGGATATGAGGATTGCATGTATGCAACTTTTTGTGGTTGCTGTACAGGTAAGTTCAACGCACCTGCAAGAGACAATGGATTTGGACACAATCGAGACTAATCCTTTATTCTGCAACAGTTGCACAGATTGCACGACATACTGGTGATTATGAAACAAATCCATCTACTCCCTTTACTTCCACAGGCTTGCCAGATCATGTACCATTTGCAGCTCCAGTCACTGTATGAACATAATGTAACATATTATTTGTATTAGTCTAACATATTAACGGTTGGATATTTGTAAAATTGGTAACTATCTTCATCGTTTCCCACCATTGGAGGTATAGGTGCCATATTTTCTCTTGGACACTCATTTATATCATCATCAAAAGCTACAAGGACTTGCTCATCTTCACATATTGTAGGTAATGGGCAACTTCTTGTACTGCTGCTCGAGAAAGTGCTGCTCCTATTTATCTTCTTTTTATTGTATCGAATAGATAGTCTAGTTTTGCTACAGGATGATGATACATCAGATATCAAGGAAAACTTGTCACTTTCAGGCTCAGTATACTTCAATTCTTCTTCGTTTGGTTCTTCCTCTTTTCTGTCAGTCTTTTCCAGTTCCTGTACGTGTGCTTCCCCCTTTTCTTTGCTATTATTAGATTTACGTCTAGAATATAATCGAGGAAAGTGGGATACGAGGGATATTACAAGTCCAGAGACTAGAAGTAAGACTATACATGCTATAGAAGCTATGTGGAAGGAGTTGCAACTCGTTGGGGTTCTTGAGATGAGGAATTTGTTGTCTCCTCGTCCTGCTGCTGCTTTACTAGGAGATGGAAAGAAAGCATCATTTCGTACTTGCGCAATGGTGACCATTTCGTAGCTACAAGGTTATCTTCGAAGAATTGTATGTATAATAAATATGTTTAATATTTTCAGACTAGTAATAGGATAACCCCTAGAAGAATCTGCAATCTGCAGCTTCTCTATTCTCTCTCAATCTCTATTCTCTCTTATTCCGACTTCAAGAGTTTTCGCCAACGTACAACGTATGTACATTCCATGTATACATTTTAAGAAAACAGCTTTTTATTACTAAATTCAATAATGGGAATCTTCTTCTTTGAGCAATTTAGTGTATTTTGTGTGGAATATGATATTTTTACGTGTTTCATTATTTCGTAACAAATTCAAAACAGACATGGAGAAATGTCTGTATTTCTTTCTTTACTCACGGACTGATGCGACTTAAAAGTTAAAAGTATCTTCGCACTTTACGAGTAAACGTCTCATAATTTTCAATGTCATTCAAAATGCGACCTTCTTATTCAGCTCTCTCCAAATTTCAAATAGGACAAGATCACTTCCTGGCAACATTATGTGTTAGGATATTCTATCGTCTGCTGGTATTTTTTATGTGATGTTTCATTACAAACAATTTTCCTTGTCCATTAGTACGACAACTGAGGCATCTTTCAGATACCTCAGCACATCTACCATAAAAACTAGAGTAGTAATGACAATACTCACGAAACTGAGATGTATCAATACTCTTATTTTTTTGCAGATCAAGTCAAGGAAAACTGTCATTGCTTGATACTTCGTATTGGGCAATAGATACTTGCCTACACTCGCTCTACTATCATCATAGTCGTTTCAACAATCATAAATCACACGTAAATTCACATTACAATGCTACGTGCATACTTTCAAAGTAAACTCCAACAATGGCGTAAACGGTAGTGTATAAGACTTTCGTAAAAAGAATCAGCTTTATTGTAAAACACATTATAAAATTGTAATTAATAAGAAACTCATTCATAAACTTTCTCGACTTCCATACTTTCTCTGTAAAATATATTTATGGATAGTATTGACCTCCGCTTGATCAGCAACTTCCTTGCTGGCGCAATGGTAGCGCATCAGACTTCTAATCTGGGGGTTCCGGGTTCGAAACCCGGGTAAGGAACTTTGTTTTGTTCGGATGCGTTGCCTTTGCTGCCTATCAGTATTAGAGTATCTCCTTTTGCTGTTCTTGATGCCCTAGAGATCGATAGAGGAAAGAACGAAAGAAATAGAGCTCCAAGTTCATAATAATTGAGATATCTTGTTTTTACTTTTGACCTTGTCGTTGGGTTCAACCCCTGCTTCTTCCTGTTCTTCAACTTCCATTTATCTCATCTTGTTTTATTTTAGCTGATGAAAACAAACTTTTCCATCATTTAGATACAATGACGTTTTGATCCCATCTGATGAATTTTTTCGAATTTTCATTTTGTCAATATAAGCAGAACCTACATGTTATGGTACTTTTTCCAACTCAGTTTTTCACGCAGATTTCATTTTTGATACCAACATTTGTCTATCTTGTTTTGATTCAGACAAATCATGTCCAAAGTAAAGTTTGCTTTTATTTTTGCACTACATTGTTGGTAACCCACTGACCTTTTGCACCTCATCTTAAATAGGATATACTATCTGAAAAAGTTGTTTTGTTTTGTTTCCACAACTAGATTTGGTTTTGTTCGACGATCTTTTGATCAAGGTAGATAAATATCTTGCTTTTGATCCCATCCATGATCATTTTTGGATTTTTCATTTTCTCAATACCAAGTTGAACTACATGCTATGGTACTTTACTCTTTTCTCTCAAGTTTTCACGTTGAATTCACTTTTGTATCTATTTAATAACTTTAGCTTACTCTACGTGCGTGAAAATGACTAAAATGATAGTCTTATATCAAAGAATGACCTAAACATGGTACTCAAAAACTCTATATTATAGCGTGTTATTTCTTTCAAAACTGCCCTCTCTTGCTATACATAGTAGAAAGATCCGAAAGATCATTCTATCTTTTATTTTGGTATTCGCTACGCTGCATTGAAGCATCCTCTTCTTCCTCTTAAAAGGTTTATTTTGGGAAATATTACGATTGAAGATGTCTCAAACTCTTTCTATCTTTGCTGCCCCTATTCCTCTTAGTCCGGAGATAATACTTTTGCTTTCTTTCTAAACTTTTTGGGTTACCTGCTTTTGAAAAAGTTTTCAAAGAAATGATATTTCCGATTGTTCTCCATTTGGGATGACTTTCATAATACGATTAAAGTTTTCTGGAATACAATAAATCGAGCCATCGTTTCCTACAAATCCACCTATGTATTAAAAGCAATTTATAAGCCATTGAGTTATTTCCAAATTTCAGACATTCCATCAACAATGAGATCAGCATTTTCTACAAATACCACGTACCTTGCCATTTGTCTTTTCTCTTTGTTCCAGTAATTGCATAGATATCTCCTATCGTAAAAGCATCTTCTGCTTCCTTGAAAGAAATAATGTGTTCATCTTCATCATTTTTTTCACTTGGATTTGAATCAATGCATAGGATATTGTTGGCATTACTACAAATCGCGTAGATGAACCCATCGTCAGCGAGAGTGCCCCCTTGGTACTTGTTTTTCTCAGACGATACTTGACCAAATGTAGAGGCGGTGTTTTCTTTGGTATCAATAAAAAGTATGGATGATGCATCCGACGGCATACCATAGATGTTGCCATCGATACCTATTGAACCTCCCAACCACTTGTATCTAGTCACTTCATCTTTGTCGTACGGTGCACGATGTATTGGAAGTAAATCAAGTCTATTCTTTCTTGCATGACTATCGCCATCTTCAAATCTAGTATTTATGGTCAATACATGCGAGTGATGAGCTGGAAAGCAGTATATCTTTCCATTCCTTTTGCTAAAGATTCCACCATGAAAGTTGTATTCATTTACATCGCACTTGGATAAAGTATCATCACCCTCTCCATCTCTATCTTCACCAATAATTTCAACAGTATCAGTATTTGCATCAATTTTCAAAACACCGCTTGCTGCATATGGCACACCAAAGATGCAGTTGTCATCTCCTAGTATACCACCATACCATTTGTTTGTTAGTTCTAATGTTGTTTTTGACTTATCAGTCGGTATATCCAATAACGATGTTTCTTGTGTTGCCAAGTCCAACTTCAACACATGATGAGCATTGGACGGGATTGCATAAATTGCTGTTTGATTTTGATTCAATGACGCCCCATGCCATAACCATCGACTTGCACCATTATCTAAAGCATTCTCGGGAAGTGGTACAACAGTAGCGTAGGAAGTCAAATCCTCTTCTAAGCTATTACATTCTTTATCTTTCCAATAAGATGCAATGTCCACTCGAAGGATCCCATCTCGGCTCCAAGCCGGTATTCCATATAAATAACCACTCGCAATAATACCCCTCAGCCACTTGAACTGTCCTTCCGCTATATCATGTGGAAGAGGTATTGTATGCATTTCGTATTCACTAGTTTGTTCTCTGGAAGAAGGAGAAGGAGGCGCCAAACATATCACCTCTTTTGCATTTGAGGGAATTCCATAAATTCGCCCTTCAGAGTCTACTGCTCCACCCAACCACTTATGCTTTCCTTTGATGAATATTCCATCTGATTGGATTTCACTTTCAATAAAGGACTGATCAATTGCCGATGACAATAGTTTGAATGATGATGAAGTTTTACTCTTTGGTAAGAGAAACCCGCTGCAATCCACTATCAGGAGAAGAACTAATAGTAGCGATACCATGGAAAACTAGAATTTTGTTGCAGAAGAGGATACTATTCAAGAAGATATTCTTTTTGAAGTGTTGTACTTTTTAACTTCGTCCAAACACAGAAATAGAAAAATTGATGGATGGAATGAAAAGCACCAAAAATGAGCCTCTAGGCCCTTCCTTGACGTCATCTCAATTAGAGTGTCCTCATAATTGATTTCAGAGAACAGAGAACAGAAATGTGATGATGTAATGCACACTATCATTGATGTTGTGATATCAACAACATTTGAACTGATCGTGTACACACATTTCCTAAATTCATTACATTTCAACGTTTCCACCAATGATGGAGGAGCTAGGGAAGGAGTCACTGAAATTGATTCTATCTAATCAAGTACAGACAACGTTCGATAGGAAACTAAATGTTGCAGACCAAAAAGAACAAGGTTCAATTAGAAGAGCAGAAAATAGTAACAATAGCAGTAGCAATGTTTCATTCTTGTACACATCTACATGTTCTACGACAAATGTGATGAGAGTTCAAGAGTCTACCAGTTCGCTTTACACTGCAAGGACTTTAATGAAGGCTAATAGGACCTCAGATGCTTGGGAACATCTACGATCACTTTTCTCGATGCAAGGCATGAATGGATACATGCCAAAATATATATTTTGGAATACAAATAGTGAAGAAGAGAATATTTCGAACGAAATATTCTACAATGGAACTAGTATACCAAGATATGATTCTTTTGTAGATACATCCTTGATGCCTACGAATTACCAACCATGTCCAAAGACTTCGAAGGAGGAAGTGCAGTTAGAGTCGAAAGATTCATCGTCGTGTCTTGATTTCAGTGGTAATAATTTACATATTGATGAAATGGATATATCTTCTTCAGGTAGACTTTCAGCTCTGCCCATACATAGTACAGTATTGTTAGAGATGTTTTACTTGAGCAATCAAACGAACGATGACTTACTTCATCTCCATTGGTACTTTGAGAGAATATACAAGATGCATAACTATTGGATGGAACATGTGATGAAATTTTGTTCTGAGAACCTTTATTCGAAACGATATGATGGAATGAGAAAACCTTGCTACAATATAATACATCCATTTGAGTCACTGGTTCCAATGAGCTCTCCACAATGGAACGATGCTCTTTCATATATAAATGATATCATAGAAGAAAGGGGTTGGAAACCTTCTAGACACATCAATATCTCTGGATTCAATCTTGATGAGTATACACGTGACGACTCATCATACGAGGCGATGGTGTATTTGATGGAATGTCAAACAAACGCCACCATAGCAAGAGCGTCCGACTCCAATAGTACACAACGAAAGACAAAAGGGAACTTTGAGAATATGTTACTCGAACACTGTCCCTTTGCGATGCTAGATATATCTCATTTGGCTGTACTTTCAAAGTCTCACAAAGATTTGAATGCCATAGCATGGATACTGCATGAATCACATTCGCGAAATGCACCTACCAAGACACAGTTGTTGATGATCGAAAATTGGATTGATTTGACAAGTGATATGTTGGCCAGGCTGATTTGGGATGACAATAGCAGTTTTTCCTCCAAGAACTTACAGTTCACAGCTAGCGGTGGCAATAATGCTTCGAAATACCATTATAATTATACTGGTGAATCGATCTCAATATATGGACACAATGCTGCCGATTTACTGATTGGAAATGAAAGACTTGACAATGACAATTTCAATGATAACGTCCTCCTGCCTATTTTAGATCGGAAAGCAAATTATAGCTTCAATTGTGAAAGTCATCCGTTTATATTACCATCATTCTCATGTTCAAATGCAAATGAGAATACAAGTATATTTGTAGAACCAATTATGAATTACTGGTTAGCAGCCGGCTTGAGGCGTAATGATGCGTATGGATTAGCCACTTATATCGAAGACATGACTTTGAAATTGTTTTGCTCAAGTACAAATAGTACATACTCAGCACTGCCAGCTACCTCATTCTTTCCTTCTCTTTCTTGTGGCGACGTTCAATTTGCCGATAGATTTGATTCAAGAAGTGGGGTACCATTGTCAAGCGAACTTTGCTCTCAGTCTAATGTGCTCTCAGCCTCAGTCCTATACAATCTAGCTATTCAAGACAAACCGTTTTCATATCATGCTTCTCCACCTATACAGAGAGCCTGGGTCGTTGTATTATTGACAGTAGAAATAATATTGGCTCTCAGCATTGGTCTATCTTGCTTACTGATGAGTTTAAACCTAATGAGGAAAGCAAATCAAGACGCAAATGAAGATGGGGAGAATGCAGATTTGTTGGAAGGTGAGGAAAATGGTGCAGTAATTGAAAATGAAGATATACTTTCAGA